TCCTTTAATTCCAGATCACCAAAATTGAGGTTCGCCCAAAAATCGCTAAGATAAATTCGCCAATTCGATTTCTTATAAGCAACTAAAATTCTTGAAATGAGCTAGTCCATGATATGAAGGTTCGTTTTGATCCCAAGATGTTGGTGAAAAAAGCAAAGTATAAAATTTCCTAAAAGTGTGGTTAAGGCAAGTAATAATGTGATAAAATACCAAGAACAAAGATGCTTTCCACAAAAAAATAAACTCGTAAATATTTATAAGTTAAGGATATTATTCATGTGTGGCTCGCCAGTACATTAAAGAAATGGAAAACACTATCTTGATCCTGTGTACCAACAAAAGCACCGCAAACTTTGCAGGTCACCTTATAGTAGATAGGTGGTTTGTCGACGGTTGAACCTCTATCGTTACACTCTATCATGGAAGGCTCTTTAAGGACAATTCGCTTGTCGACATCGCAATTGATTGCAAATAGAGATCTATATTGTGTCTTAAGCTTGGTATGTCTAAAATAACAGATTCAGTGACAAATATAATGAGGCACCAATGCGAAAGTGGCAAATTATTTACCTTTGACATACAAGACAAACCAATGTCATACAGTATGAACAGTTAAGAACCGCATCTGACTGGCTCGTGACTCCAGAGGGCATCAAAACATCCTTAACCCACTTTTCTGTGTCATCATCTTCATCTTCATCATAAAATAGTTCATCGGCATCTCCAGCCATTTGATCTTTTTCATTCTGTTCAGAAGCATTTAATGTGGTTCTGACTTCGTCTGAGAAGCTAACATGTTTACCCTTGCATGTTGGTTCAACCACATCCGTTCGAGCATAATTCTGACATAGTTGGTGGACATTATTTTCTAGCTCAGTACACATAAGCCGTTCAAATTTATTTGCTAAACAATTTGATTTTGTGGATTCTTCGATGTATTCACCAGAACTGCAAAATAAAAACCGGAAAAAATTACCTGTGAGAGCTCGTATCCGAGTCACAACCATCGTAGGTACAGAAGAACATCAAACGTTTTGCATGCACGCATACGGATAAAAAGCAATTTCCTCAGAATATTTTTGATAATAATATATTTCGACTAATTATAGTTATAAAAAAATTAATTATAGGGTTTTATAAACAATTTTATTGTGCTACTTACGAACGCACCCATTCTGCCAGTCTTTGAGACTTCGACTTTATCCTCTCCGTAATAGTTACTCGTACTTCGATCCCGTTGCCTGATATATCTATATATATCTGTATATATCTATATATATATATATATATATATATATAACTAAAGTAAATATGAGTTTTGTTTTTATCTAAATCCCTTAGCTTCGAATTGACATGACTTTTGACGTAGACTATTCTAGCTTATTAGACAGCAGAATAAATTAACTCACGTATCTTTAAGTTTTGAATGCTTAACTAAATAATATATGGTTTTGTCTTCGATATTACATTCTTACCTATTCATTATTTCCAAATTGTTCCACACCGTAGAGATTATTATCCAAGCCTCCTAGTTATTAATAAGCTGCTTTACTTTGTGCTGAAGTACCTTTGTTTCACTATCTCGCTACTATCAAATTTACTCATTTTGTCATATTTTCGTATTTTTTAAGTTATGGAAGAAATTTCGATAGCCCGAGCTTGTTATATGGCGAGAATTCTTTCGAGCTGTCTCTAAAATAACTAATACATAATATTATTTTTATAAAGACATTGCATTTTTACAGGTTCCTCGTTCTTCTCCTTGACAAATGGGAAATCGGGCTTGCTCAAGGATTTGCCCAATACTGCCAAAACGCAAAGCGGCCTCGTACATTAATATTCCATCTGAATCACCCAGTCTTGGATGTCCGAATTCCTGTGCCAACTCTCAAGATAAGCTGGCTGGAAGCAGTCCAACTAACTTAGAATTTATCGATTTTCCTTTTCTTAACGATGACAAAATTTTTCGCTGGATTGTAAACACTCGATTTATGATCATAATGCGAGGCCCCCCTGGTTCCGGAAAATCTTATGTGGCCAATCTTATCTGTAAAAAGTTTCAGATGGCCTGTGTGAGCAGACTTTTGCATTTTATATACCGAATCTAAGAAATTTCAGTGTGTAGCTTTGGTACGCCCTTTAGCCCCATTGATTTTAATTATTTTTTACGTTACCAGGCCGTAACAGGAATTATTATAGTGAAAGCTAGATAGTTGCTGTAGAATAGATGATGCTAGTGACTCAAATAATTAGTAATGCGATACCAATCATACCTTAAATCTTGGCTATTCTTAATTTAAAAGCCCCGGAGGATTATATCTATGTTAAAAGATTGCTCATATCTTTAAAATAATGATTTGTGAGGTATTTTTGCAGGTATATTCGGCTTTATCCAATTAAAATGTATTGTCTGATTTGATATCATATATGTCTTAAAACACGTCTGGCATTAAACTAAGCCATTGAAACGAAATTATATTCTTTAATCGAAGATATGAAGACCAAGATGGTATGGCCTTTTGTGTGGTCT